TGTTCTGCCTGGACTGTTCCATAGACATTTTAAATTTTTTTTTCTCAAATATCTGAGGGGCTGAGCCCCTAGTGCCCCTCTGCTCAGGGGCCCTGTCAGCTGCACAGAGCCTGCGAGGGGCCAGGCCAGAGCAGAGCCCACCCGCTGTCCCTGCAGTGCTGAGCAGCCTCCTCTGGCCTCTGTCCAGGGAGCCCTGTGCTAAATCCCACATTTCTGCTTGTGGGCAGACTGTAAAATTTCCTCTTGCCTCGGGATCTCTCCTTTGAATCAGGCACAGTCCCCGATCACAGCTCGCCTTTGAAGACCAGCTTTTGCAAGGCAAAGCAAACCCATGCAGATGAAGCTGCAGAAACACAGGTTCACTCTGTTTTCAGCTTTATTATCACAGGCTGCCAAACTCATGCCAGGATATCCTGACAGTAGGGAATGGTCCCTGTTCCAGGCACATGGCACCCCCTGAGGATGGAGAAGGCTTTCCCTGCAGGTAAGGAGAGGAGACTTGACAAAGCCTTTGCTTTGCACGTGGCTGAGTAGGATGGTGTGTGCCAGCTTCCACTTCCCCTCTTTCTGCTGTCCCTTGTGCTCCAGGGTTTGGCAGCTGCCTGTTGGAGCTGGGGGAACAGAACTCAGAGGGTGTGGAGGGGTTTGTACACTCCTGGAACAATCCCCTGCACGAGGCAGTGAGCTCCAGAGGCAGCGTGTGGAGCACAGCTCCTGCATCCCTGCTCGGGGAATGGCTGGGTTCAGGGGTATGGCTGGGTTCTGGGGGATATGGCTGGGTTCTGGGGGATATGGCTGGGTTCTGGGACACAGCTGGGCTCAGGGAATGCAGCTGCTCCTGCAGTCTCAGGCCTGCAGTCCAGGCACGGCACAACAGCACGTGTTGCCCACATTTGTGCTGCTGCTTTTCAACACTGCCATTGCTGGTGGTCTCTTGGGCTGGGGTCTAAAAACCAGTGCAGCAGGATGTGCTGTGGGGAAAGAGCAAAGAAATTGAAAGTGAAAACCAAAATGTTTTAAAAATGTAATTTAATTGCTTACAGCGATTCGAGTGTTTAGGGGTTGGCACTCTGGGAGTAGAGTTTACACACCAAAACTGGTGTGTTAATAATGGTCAAATAATAAAATCTGCACCAGAATGGGGTTTTAGTTTGTTTCGTTTTTGAATATGGTGCAAAGGCACATTACCTTTCATTTAAAATCTTGGTATTTTGGTGTATCAGTAAGACATAATGGGTTTGAAGCAGTGCCCTGGCATCCCCGAGCAGGCTCCAACACAGACGTGTTGCTGGCTGCTCCCAGGCTGGAGCAGGTCAGGACGAGCTGACACAAGAAACACTGAAATGTAGGGAGCTTGTCATAAAAACAGCACAGAAGAAATGTGAAGGTCTGATGTAAAGAGAAGCTGAAGGTAACCTGTAACTTAACTATTGTTCACATTATTTACAGGCTGGATGTCCCTTTTTGTGTTTTGGTGATTAGAGAGCAGCTCTCAGATTTCCTAAGAGCCCGAACCTTATTACAACAATTACTGTGTTGCTTCATTCTAAAACGTCTTCACTGCCATATTTAGCAATGTGAACTGCAAGGTTGAAGCAGATTCATCACCTGGGCAATGCACAGGATTGGCTGTTTCTGTTTTTGAAGCAGAAAAGTGTCAGCAAGATCAGAGCTTGCAACAAGGGAGGATTCCGCAGTGTTTCGGCTGCAGGTGTGAAGGTGGAGGTGCTTCTGTCAGGGGAAGAGTCCTGGAAGAGCTGACATTTCCCCCTTCCTGACGTGGATTACTCCAGTCACTGTGTGGTGCCTGTCACTAACAGGGAAGCAAGGAGGAAAGCATCTAATTAAGGACTGATTTTAAAAGCTCAGTGCTTTTTCCCTCTGTACTCTAGTTCCTCACCGTGTGCTGATGAGGGAGTGTAGTTCCAGTGTCTGGCTGAGCCTGTCCTGGTGCCTTCAGTCCCCCCTGTGCCCTGCTGGCTCTGTGCATGTGCCATCATGTGGGTCAGACCTTGGCTGCTGGACTTGTCTGCCCAGCTCTTGTTCAGGATGCAAATCACTGCTTTGCATTTCTAATTAATTGAAGCACTGTTGTGTGTTGTGAGAGTTTTCTGTGTCCTCAGAACTGTGGGAGCCTGCATGGAGGGCTGTGTGTAGCTGGCCAAGGGTTAGGATGTCTCTGAAGAGCAGTTTGTCTCTGGGCACTCAGGAATTACCAGCCTGTCCTTCTGAGGAGAGGCAGTCCAAAGACTGGAGGGTGCATGTGTTAGGTGAGGCTATAAAATACTTCCTTTTTCTGAAACACAAGTAAAATAAAACATTTGTATAAGCATTTATGTACACAAATGAGTGATTTCCTATTAAACTCACCTGCTGAGTGCCCTGTAGTTCACTTTTCAGGAACCCAGTGACCTGTAGAGATGTTTATGACAAGTGTCGGTACCTTCTGTGAGGAGCTGGCCCGTGGGAGCTGGGGACAAGGATTTCTGCAAATGGGTTCAAAGCCTCGTGCCAGTTTTCAGTTTCTGGGTTGTCTGGAGTGAGGACAAGCCATGCAAGGGAACATTTTTCTGTGGGAAGGGAGAGCTGCTGCTGCCTCATGGTGTGATGGGCTGGAGGGAGCACAGTAAGGTGGGAATGGTGCTCGTGTTTGCTGTCCTGTCCAGCTCCTGTATCAGGTGACAGTGAGGGCTTTGCTCAGGGCAGTACCAGCACATTCTAGGTTGGTTGGGGGGACAAATCAGGGGGTTTGGGTGTTTTTTGCTGTATTAAATATACTAGTAAACTTTGCTAAATTCCATAAATCCCTAGGCTGCCCTGAGGAATCTGCAGAGCCCAGCGAGGGAGCTCCATGGCACGCTGCTGTGCTCCCTCCCTGTGCTCTGGGCTTCTTGCCAGGGGAGACCTGCTCTCCAAACATGGTTCTGTTTGATCCTGTGAAAAACAAATTACTGCTTGGGGTGTTTTGTTGAACCTTAAAAAACAGAGACCTAAACTTCGAGGCATTTTAACTTCTGTTTGATTTCTACACCCTCTGTAGGCAGTAATCTAAAACTTTGTAGAAAAAAATGTGCAAGATCCCAAGTACTAGAATTCAGGGACTTTTTTTCCCTAAGTAGATCAAGCAGGTGTTCTGTCCTTGCAGTCACCTTCACTTTGCTACACTTTGGTAGCTTTGGCTCCCTTTTACCTACCTAAGAAGCAATAGCTGAAAAACAGATGATTAAGACTTCTCAGAAACCTTTGGCACACCCTTTATTTAAGAACCAACTCATCCCATTTTGTGGTTACACCCACCCTAACACACAGGCTCTCAGCCCTGAGCTGTGTGAGCTGCCAGTGTGTGTGCACAGCATTGGATAAGCCTTGGTCACAAGCAGAAATCAGAAAATAAAAGAAATTTCTATTCTTCAGCATCTGCTTAGTTTCTCACTGCCACACTGCTCTGGAAGTCCAGAGCTGGATGCAGTCAGTGCTGGGATCCTTGGGACCTCTGTGTTTGCTGTGCTGGTGTGATTCAGAAGGAGGAGGGAGGACTGAGGTGCAGAGTTCTGTCCTGAATCCCTCCCCACTCTGTGTGAGATTTGAAAGCACAGGGTTCAGTGGGCAGGTGCTTTGTGGAAGGTCACGGCTGTAGCTGTTCACAGACCCTCTTTTCCCAGGGTTTAGCTCAGGCTCCTCTGTTAATTGTCATGCTGTCTCAACAGGTTGAGAGGAACACTTCCAGCCTCCTGTATTTTCCTCTAATCAGTTACTAAAGTGCTGGCTATTCCAGCAGCTAAGAATTTCCTATATTGTTAATCCTGTTAACAGTTTGTGTGTGCAGAGAGCCTTTAATGCAATAGTGTTTAATCTAAGGGGTAGACAATGGCTGAGATAACACTGGTTTATAGGAACATTCAGAACCAATTGAAAGCTGATTGGAGATTAGTTCAGTTTCCAGTTAGGAAGGGTGTTACAGCTGTGGAAGGTGTGTAACATGTCTGATGAAGAAGATGTAGTGGGTAGAAGTTGCTAAATAAGACATACATCTCCCCATATGGCAGAAGCTGGGGAACCCCAGAGGCTGATGTAATTAATGCACAGCAATGTAAAACAGCTTTGAAAATATCAGGCTGTATGGAGCAACCTGCTGGATTGGGTTAGGCTGCTGTAACCAATGAATTTCTAAAAATAGCAGTCAAGTGGTGATCAAAGTGTCTGGCACATGTGAAAGTGTAAAGCTGGCAGGAGAGCTGGAGGAGAAGGGGTGGCTGGGGATAAGGGACACTGCTGTCTTGAAATAGTGACATAAATTCCAGAATCTTGGATTAGAAAGTAGTTTCTGTCCAGGCACAGTCCCTGTGGGATGGCCAGGGAAGAACTCTGAGTGGTTTGGCGAGCTGGCTGGAGAGGGATGCTCTGCATGGGGAGGCTCAGGCTGTGTCCCCTGCTCCTTTCTCTTTGCCTGGTGCTGGCAATGCGAGGGGTGAATGTGCCACCAAGGGGGACATCTCTGGTGCTCCTCCCTGGTGGGGCCGAGCACCACATGGCTCTGGGGCCCCCTTTGTGGGGGATGCAGTCCAGAGTGCTTTGGTGACCCGGACCAGGAGCGTGTCCTGAGGGAAACTGGGATATTGCCTCCACCAGAATCCTGCTGGGAGCAGAGAGGAAGGATGGTGAAACTGTGAGTGTGAAAATAATTCCGTGTGTGAGAGAGGCAAGGAGGGGTGGGAAGGGACCGTGTCCTTCCCTTTGCTCCTCCTTTTCCCTACTCTGGATGTGCAGCCAGGCTGACACTCGGGTTAGGAATTACTGACATGCACAGTCAACAGCTCTGGGGTTTGCTCCCAAATAAAGCTGAACTGCCCTTTGGTGCAGCCAGAGCCAGTAAGCTGCTCAGGTGTTAGCAAGTGAGTTCTTTTAGTTTAAAGCAGATAGAATTAACCTGTGGATTTTCTCAGGCAGTTTGAGCAAGAGACTTTTGCCCATTAAGGCTGTGCAGTGAGTGTACATAGAAATCCATTTTGCTGCATTTATTGAGTGTTAATATGACTCGGCAAACACCCTTTTGTGTTATTCAGCAGAAGTAAACCAAACTATTTTTCAAGTTCTCTATGAACATGCAGAGTAGAGTGTGCTGTTGAAGGATCAAGACTCAGTAGGAGACACTCGTGTGTCCAGTTCAGTGTTTGGGTTTGTCTGGACTGTTCTCTGAAGAGCTTTTACCCTCCTGTACAACACCTTCTTCACAAAAGGCTTGCACAGGATCATGTAGATCAGGGGGTCCATGCAGACGTTGGTGGCTGCCAGCCACAGTGTGCTCTCCTTGGCCATGAAGAGCTGGTTCTGCAGGCGGCAGTCCATGTGGGCACTCGTTTGGCTCAGAGTGTAGGGGACCCTGCTGAAGTGGAAGGGGGCAAAGCATAAGAAGAACACGGTGAAAATGATGAATACTTTCCCCTTGATCCGTTTTTCAGTTCTGTTGCCTTTCTTCTGTGTTTTTATGTAAGACTCATATACCTTTTTGGCAATAATTATATAAAATAGCAACATGAGGATGAGGACAGTCCAGAAGATGAACTGACAGATGTAGTTGATGGCTTCGTGCCATTTGAGTCCGAGGTAACTCTTCAAGGAGGCACACTTCCTCACAGACTGAGGCGTCGCTGTCTTGTTGGACAGGATCATGTTGGGCAGAGAGAGAACAAGGAAGAAGAGCCAGACCAGACTGGCCAGGATCTTTGCTGAGGTCAGATTTTGCACCCAGAACTTCCCAAAAGGTCTCACAATCTTGAGAAATCTGTCGAAAGCAATGAGCCCGAGTAGCACTATGCTGATGTACATGGTGTCATAGAATATTATGGCTGAGAAGCGACAGACAAAGGCTTTGAGTTGCCACAGTCCCAGGCCAGAGTCTGTCAGGATCTTCAGAGGAAGCATTAGGGTCATTATAAAATCGGAAACTAAGATATTTTTCAAGTAGACAATGAAAGTTGATGTGCTTGGAATGTGGAAGAAAGCCCAGCAAGCCAGGCTGTTGAGCACAAGCCCCAGGAGGAAGATGAGCGTGTACAGCGCGGGGAAGAGCAGGTGGGTGATGGTGGTGTCACGGGGACACTGTGCAGAGGAGGGTGCTCCACTGGTGTTACCAACACTGCTCGTGTTTGCAGAGTCTCCCATCGCTGGAAACAGACTTGGATGGAAAAGGAGGGAGAGAACACAAAACACAACCTCCTGTATGTAGTGTTACATGTTCCTTACAGTAACAGCAAGTTTGCAAGAACAGGCACAAAACCTGAGCGTGTGTTAGACACACCAAATTCCCTTCTGATTCATGGAAAATCTAAATCTTTGCTGACATTTAAATTCTTTATAAGCTAACATCCACTGAAGCGTTAAAAGGGTTCATACTTATTTTGGAGGCCCAGGGTAATGTCATAGCAGGGTATAAGAGCAGACTGCCTGGAGTATTGTTGGTTTTCCCATGGAAATGTAATTTAGCATTGAATAGAAATGTTAGAGCCATTGCCCAAAAGCCAGACGCTTCTGGGTGAGTGACTTCTGGTAATTCTTTCCAAGCACCCACTGTTTTCCTTTCTCAGCACAGCTTTACACAGCATTTCTAAGACAGATGTGCACAGGTGGCTCCCAGCCCTGAGCACCAGCTGCCCAAGCACCCCCTCACACCCCCAAACACCCCCAAACACTCGGCCCCTGCAAGTACCTGGGCAAACCTGCAGCTATTGCAGAGGTCTCTGTGGCTGTCCCCATCTGCTGTTCCTCTGCCAGCAGAACCCTCCAGTAAAGTGTTAAGAGTGGGGAAATGTGTAGAAAGATGAGACCTTTTTCTGTTGGTGCGTGGTTTCCTTCCTCATTTTGACTTGTGGCCTGAGTTAGTCATGTTTGCTATTGCTTTTGTCTCTTCCCTTTCCACATCACCTTCTCATAAACTAGAAAAGGAAACCTGACCCTGTCTCTCAAGACAGACACATTTCTGTGTCTGTGTGTGTGGGGGGCAGAGCTGCTATACCTGGACTGGTAGGAGTTTCCTGACAGTGTTCCAGGATAACCCTCGACTGTAGCTCCTAGCTGTTGTTTGTGTGTGAATTCCATGTTCTGGATGTCACCAGTCATTGCCAGCGTGTTACAAGGGTCTTCTCAGAGCCACCTTACAGTGGGGCCCCAGCTCCAAAGCCATGTGCACCAAGGTGTGCCTGGTGTTACTGACACACGCACCTGAGCTTGGCTTTGGAGCTCCAGAAGGGATTCCCGAGTATCCAGGGGATGCACTGTGCTGCTTACAGCCACTTCTGGTCCTGGAAGGAACTACTGCTGCATGGAAAGCTGTGGGTTGGTGATGTGTTTGTTTGGTATAAGGCTGGATTTTGGTGCATTTCTCTGTGAACAGAGCTGTTTGTGTAGGGTTATTGCTGCCTGCTGGTGTGACAGCTGTGGCTCAGGGCTCGCTGCCATGTGGGCAGTGGCTCCTGTGCAGCTGTTTCCTGGGGCAGGGTGGATTACTCCATGAACTGCTCAGGCTGTAGCTGTGACAGGGAGTTTGTGCATCGATACCTGGGACATTTTGGTTAATGTAGGTGCCGGTGTCAGTGTTGAATGGCTGCTGAGAGCAAACAGCCTTGAAGAGGGCTGGGGTTAGGTCACCCTCAGCACTGTCACCAGTGTGATGTGTCCCTGGCTGCCCAGCCTGCCTTCTGTTCACCCATGGTGACCACTGAAGGGTGTCAGTGCATTGTGATGCCCCAGGACTGATGGCCATGGCAGTACCTTCCATGTTCCTTGAGCTGTTGATGCTGTTCCCAGGTGTCAGAGGCAGCAGGTACCAGGTACCTGTGCACTCCCTGTCCGTGCTGGCTCTGGGGCACAGGCGTGTCTGTTGTCTGGACAGCTCACCTGATCAGGGAAAGCAGCTCCTGGGTAACTGCCACTCTCTCTCCGTGTGTAGGTGCAAAAAATGTGTGGAATGAGTCAGGTCTCAGGTGGGAGTGGGGCATTTGGCACTCCCCTCCCTGGGCATTAATGGGAACTGGCCTGGCCTGGGGCCTGTGGGCTGGCGGGGGAGCAGGACCAGGGTGGCTGGACACTGTTTCCAAGGAAATTCTGCTGCCCTGTGCTCTGTGGTGGACCCCAGCTCCTGATTGTATCAGCTGGAGCAGGGCACAGAACAGTTTGTGGCAGGGTGAATTCATCCCAGTGGGTTACCAGAGATGCACAAACCCCAAGGCTGAGGGTGGCAGTAAGTAACAAGGGAACTGCCTTTTAACTTCTTAGGAGATTGGATTTCAGTTGTAGAAGTGCCCTGGCAGGCAGGGACACGTCCTGGGAAGGATGGACAGGCAATGGCTGTGGCAGGATGAGCTCCTGTGAGATGGGGACACACACTGCTCAACTGGAGCTGTTCGCAGAGCTGATAAATGAACCACAATTTATTCCAGTAGCCCACAATCTATTTCACATGCAATTGCTGTGATACCTCAAAATGTCATGTACTTGAAAATACTTCCCTGGTTTTTTCCAAGTGCAAAAAGGGAAGTGGTTGAGTATTTTATATAGTGCAAAAAGCTGCCCTTAATCATCAGTGGTTACCATGAGCCTGTCTTTCCCCAAGATCTCAGTATGATGTAAATTGAGTGTTTGTATGTTTTCTAATATAATGTTCTCTGTGAAAACATACAGTTTTGTTTATTTATGTAGTAGGGGGAAGGATTTGGAGATTTGATTAATACCAAGATAAGCCTGATTATGAAATAATTTCCTCTGACATACAACTATTAATTACTGGTCAGTGGATTAGGAACTGCAAGCACAGAATGAGATAAGCAAAGTGTAAGCAAAAATCTGCACAAATGACTCCTCTACATCTGGCCTAGGTTTCTGTTTGTCTGCCAGTTGCCTACAGGGTGACAGCTCCCTGTATAGAAAAAGCACATCTGTGGATTTTATCTGCATTTCTCAGGTGTTGTCATGGACTTTACTCTGGCCCAAGTTTAGCTATTTCTGCAAAATCTTTACTGAATTTTCATTATATCATCTGTAGCATTTCATGATTCTGTTTTAAATTTTTTCCTCACAGTTCCACTTTTAAGTTCAGACTTCTTCCCAGCAGTTCTGACAGACGTGGAGGTTGGGGTCAGGGGAGCTCCTCTGTTATTTAAGCTTTCTGTTTTTGCAGGCAGTGGTTCCAGGGTGCTTGTGCTTCATCTGCAGGACTACTTCTAAAGAAGTCAGTGAAGTTCTGGATGCTCTTCATGGACTTGTGCTCCTGCCACCCTCAATAAACACGTGTGGCCAGGGAGGGCCGTGTGGAGTCCTGAGATCTAGAGCGGCGTCTCGTCAGTGTCATCCCCCTCATTCTGCCCCTTTGTCTGTGCCCTGAGCCCTGACACTGCCCTGTGCTTGCACAGCATGTCTAGCAAGGATTTCCTAAATGACTTGCAAAGGAAAAAGTATATGAATGGATCCAGGCAGGCATTGAGGGATGTCAGCCACAGCGTGGTCTCCTTCAGGTAGAACAGGGTGCTCTGAGCAGAGCAGTCAAACACATCTCTCGTTTGGCTCAAGGTGTAGGGGATCCTGGTAAAGTGGAATGGCACAAAACAAATAAAGAACACAGCAATTATTATGAAAACCTTGAGATTGACAGCCTTCTTGGATGCCTTCCCTGCGCATTGTATCCTTTTGTAGGATTTGTACAGTTCCTTGCTGATGAGGATGTAACATACCACTATGACTGCTAAGTTAACCCAGAAGATGAGCTGACAAATGTAGTTTACAATTTCATGCCAGACTAAGCCAAACTCGGATTTCAGGAGAGCACACTTCCTTACACTCTTGGGTGTTTTCTTCTTATTATTTAAAATCATGTTGGGTAAGGAGAGAGCAAACATTGATACCCAGATTGCTGTGGACAGGATCTTGGCAGCTAAAAGGCTGCGTGGAGTTGATGTTCTGAATGGGGAAGTGGCTTTCTGATAGCGATCAATAGTTATCAGACCAAGAAACAGGATGCTGATGTACATGGTGAAGTAAAACACAACCTGGGTGACCTGGCACACGAACCCTCGCAGCACCCAGGATACCAGCTTTGCATCACTGAGGATTTTAAATGGAAAAGTCAAGATCATGAGGAAGTCAGAAATGACAATGTTCTTCAGGAAGATGATGAAATTTGATTTACTGGATATTTTAAAGAAGACCCACATTGCCAGGCCGTTCATAGTGATCCCCACCAGGAACAGAAATGTGTAGAGTAAAGGGAAGATGACTTGGCTGATCCTGCTGTCGCTGGTGCAGTTGCTGTCATTCCTGGAGGAGCTGAATTGGGCTGTGGCTTTCATTTGCATTGTAGTATTCTCTCTCACTGGAGAAACAAACAGAAAAGAAAAAAAAGAACAAATTGAGAGTTTTATCTCTTATGAGACTTCAGCCTTTTCAGTCAGCTTTGAATTGTTGTGTTGTGAACAAATGCTCTCAGCTGGCGGGGCCCCAGCTGGGCCAGGGCAGCTCTCTGGTGTGTGCTGATGCAGTTGTTTATGTGACTGTATCTGGGCTCTGCCTGTGTAAAATGGGCACTCAGAGGAGGTGATGTGCTCTCAATTGATGCCCAAATCCCTGACAAAGATTTATTTCTTCCTAGAAGGTAGAAAAAATTGGCTTTTGCTTTGAAGAATGGAACAGGTTCATCTGGCAAGTCCGTGCAATGGAAGGAGCCCTTGCAGAGCAGGGACACGTCCCCCTGGGGCAGGGGACCCGCAGGGGTGTGGCTGTGCCCTGGGCACAGGCTGCTCTCAGCCAGCAGCTCCTTGGCAGCCCCTCCAGCTCTTCACCATGGGACTGGGCAGGAGTGTTCCTGGGGAATCCCTCGGAGCAGGCAGAGGCAGGAGGAGCAGCTGAGCATCCCAGGCCTGAGCCTTAGACCATCCTCTGCCTGTGAGCTGCTTTCTTAGTCAGTGGCAGCTGCAGATTCCAGATGATGCACTGTTAGCTTCTGCTTCTGTTTTCTGTAGAAACGAGAGAGAAATTAAATTTTAGGAAATAATTAGCAGTTTGCTTCCTGCCTTTGACTGACTCCCAGGGGCAGTATTAGAGGGAGCAGGGATTTGTCAGATTGTAAAACTGAAACAATGGGATTGTTTCCCCTCGGTTTCTGCAGGTGATGGCAGGGACAGGCAAAGGGACTTCACTTGCATCTGCTCTTTTCAGGATGAATCTTTGAGCCATGAGTGTAACCAATTCCTGATTCTCCTTCGTGGTGTGGGTGAGGAGCGTGATGAAGCAAGGCATCAGCCAAAGAAGATTACCAAAGACATCCTCAAAATCCAAACAGGAAAAGCACTACAGAAATGGGTGGTAAATGCTCTAACACTGCTGTTGGGGTGCTGGGAGCGAAGCTCACAGGAGCTGGGAGCTCAGTACATTGACTGGAGCCATGCACATCATCCTGTAATTTGGTTTTCCTCTGCTTGGCAGTCACTGGGAGAGAGGCTGAGCTGCTGCCCTGCCCATGGTGCCTAGGGTTGGTCAGCAGCCACCACAAATCCCAGTTTTCCATTGCAGCAAGTGGCTGCAAATGCTCGTGTTGGGCTGGAGCCTGGAATGGGAGTGATCCATGTCCCTTCCCCTCCTGGGAGCACTGAGTGATTGCTTGCAGCTCTTCTGGAGTGTCACCTCTTTTTGCTGGGATAAGCTCACAGTAGCTTTGACAATGTTTCATGCTCCAGTGTATCTGTCCCAATTATAATGGAAAACTGGGGCAAGTAGGGTTTGTCTAGTCATGAGTAAAACTTACTAAGATTTTTATTGTCTTTTAAATCTGTAACAATGGAAACCTGCTAGGGCTCCATTAAATATAAAATTACTCGGGTAACCTTTTATATCTGCTCAGTTGAAGATGAAGGACAGAAGCCCAGGAAGACCAAACCAGAGGCATTTCTGACCCTGGAGACTGTGTTCACAAAGCTGCAGCAGTTGTCCTATTTCAATCAACATCAGGTAGTGTGGCACATGGTGACCTTCAGAGTGCTGCTGTACCTGAGGAGCCCTCAGCTGCCTCTGACTCTTGACGTTCCTGTTCCCAGATCTCCAGCAATGTCTGGAGCGGAGCACCAGCTTTGCCTCAGAAATGCTGTACCACCTGCCCCACCACATCCAGCTCATCTTTGACCTCATGGAACCAGCACTGAACATCAGACTTTGCAGGACACGTGAGCAGAGTTAATTTTGGGGAGTTATGTCAGGACAAAGCTGCAGTAAGTTTTCTGTGAAGCCAGAAAAACCCCAAGATCTGGACTGCAAATTCCCCAGATTTGATGCCATGTGCTTGCATGTGTTTTAGTTTCCTGTCCTCTGAAACAGAATGCCAGGCACTTCCCCATTCTCTGGTATGGTGATAGTTGTGGAGAATCAATACAGGCATTTTATTTTTAAATCTTCCAAAAATAATAAAATTCTAGATTATTTAAACACAAAGGATTTTAGGATGGGGTTTTGCTGTTTTGGACTGAGCCATCATATTACTCAGTAACACATCTGATTGCCTGAAATACCATGGATTTCTGAGGAGTAGCTCTGAGGGATAGTTTTTCTATTTTAACCGTTTATTTAGCTCTTCTCCTCCTTCTCTAGTGAATAGTGAATTGCCTTTTTGTCTGCCACACAGTTTATCCTTAACGTTTTTTGATTTTTTTTTTTTGGCTCCTGTTTTAGGTGCTTGGGCATTTCTTTCAGTCTGTCATTTGTGTGTGTATTCTCAGCTGCTGAACGAGCTGAGTGTGGTGGAGGCTGAGCTGCTGCTCGAGTTGTCCAGCCTGGCTGGGAGGCACAGGACGGGGCTGTGTGTCTGTGGCAGCAGCACTCCTGCCTGCTCCTCAGCTCCGAGCACGCTGCACGGCTCTTGGAAGGGTTGGGGTCACCTACGCCTCTCCAAAGAGCGATTTTGGTCTCCAGTTGAGCAGAAAAAGCCTTTAGGTTCAGGTAGCAGGTGTTGCAGTGCTGGTGGAGGCTGTAGGTGAGCTCAGGGCAGTGGGGAGGATGATGTGCCCCACTGCCAGGGCCGGCTGCGACACCCACCCTTTGTAGCCTTGGCCAGGGAGGGGCTGTGGTCCTGATCCCCTGCCCCACTGTGCCCTGGGCTCCCTCTGCCACAGGTGACACCAGATGTCACCAGCTGTCAGCCTGCTGAGGGTCTGTCACGTTCCCCAGCTGACAGAGGGGTTTGCACGCTCTGTGACAGTATGGGACACGTGGCTCGGCTGCATTGGGGCAAACCTGGCATGGTTTTGTTTGCAGGTTTTGTGGGGTGATGAGGAATGTTGTGAATCCCTCTGAGTGTTCTTCCACAACAGCTTACCTGTGTGACCTGTACGTGTCTTGCAGGCACCTAAGCAGCAAGTCTGGAGAGCTGTTCATGTGGTTGGTGAAGGAGTTGCTGTCACCCTGCTGACAGACTGATGCAGGCTGCTGGGGTTTCCTTTTGCTTTGCATCCCGTGGAGATCGCCAGGGCTTTTTCAGCCTTCGCTTCACTGCTGCAGCCGCTCTGCCCGTGCCAGGGCAGCGTGCGGTGCCGGGCGGGGCAGATCGCAGCCTCGGGTGGGGTGTGCGGTCCCGGGGGATGTTCTGTGCCCGGGGGATGTTCTGTGCCCCCGGGAGATGTTCTGTGCCCGGGGGGATGTTCTGTGCCCGGGGGATGTTCTGTGCCCGGGGGGATGTTCTGTGCCCCCGGGAGATGTTCTGTGCCCGGGGGGATGTTCTGTGCCCGGGGGGATGTTCTGTGCCCGGGGGGATGTTCGGTCCCAGGGCTGTGCGGTCCCAGGGATGCTCGGTCCCAGGGGATGCTCGGTCCCAGGGCGGTGCGGTCCCAGGGATGTTCGGTCCCAGGGATGCTCGGTCCCAGGGATGCTCGGTCCAAGGGATGCTCGGTCCCAGGGATGCTCGGTCCCAGGGATGCTCGGTCCCAGGGATGCTCGGTCCCAGGGATGCTCGGTCCCAGGGATGCTCGGTCCCAGGGATGTTGGGTCCCAGGGGATGTTGGGTCCCAGGGATGCTCGGTCCCAGGGATGTTGGGTCCCAGGGGATGTTGGGTCCCAGGGCTGTGCTGTCCCAGGGATGTTCGGTCCCAGGGATGCTCGGTCCCAGGGATGTTGGGTCCCAGGGGATGTTGGGTCCCAGGGATGCTCGGTCCCAGGGATGTTGGGTCCCAGGGGATGTTGGGTCCCAGGGCTGTGCTGTCCCAGGGATGTTCGGTCCCAGGGATGCTCGGTCCCAGGGATGTTGGGTCCCAGGGGATGTTGGGTCCCAGGGATGCTCGGTCCCGGGGCTGTGCGGGTCTGTGCTGCGGGGAGCAGGGGCTGAGCCCGCTCCCCTCTGGGGCAGTTCCGGGGCTGCTCTGCCCGCAGAGATCACCTCTCGGTTCAGCCGTGCAGCATTGGATCCCGCTCAGCCCGCTGCCTTGGCTGGGGCTGCGTGTTCGCTTCTGGGGCTCCTCGGCTGCAGTTCAGGCAGTGCTGGATGGAAATCCTGCAGAACCTCAGCTGCCGCAGCTGCAGCGCTCTGTAAGGATTTCTTTTGATGCGGGGAGAGGCACAAACATGTTTGAGTTTGTGAAGTTTTATCCTTGAATGTTCAGTTCCTTGATTTTTAAGTTAAAAAAGAATTCAGTTCCCGTATGCCATATTTTTGGCTTTTACTTTGTAAAAGAGGAGTGGAAACCTTTCAGATGCAAATCCACATCTTGTGATACTCACAAACTGCCCCAGTTGCTGTTTTCCTTCCTGGTTTGTGTCCCTAGTTGGGGGCTGCATAGTTTAGATTTGTGGTTTCATTTCACAGGGAGCAGGAAAGTATTTTGCAGTAATAATATTTTAATAGATTTACAGACACCTGGCAGCAATAGCATTTAGTCAGAAACACTGGGAAAAAGGAGTGGGAAATATAGAAGGACTACACAAATATCTGAGCTCTATGTTAATTTCTTCTGCTTAGAAGCTAAAGTTCAGTAACATAATAAAAATAACAAGTTTTGTTAACGTTACTCTACAATAACAAAAGAGAGTCTAGTAATAATACAAGGTATTAAATAATTTGTTAAAGATATGATACGCAGAACTTGTTTGGAAGCACCTTTTTTTTATCAAGTGGAGTTAGAAATTCCTGAAAACTGTTAATAGAATTTATGTATACATTTTGAAACAGCTATATTTAAGGTAATAACATTACATTTATGTTGGTCTCCTTGCTACATTCAAAACACTCAGCCCCACTGCATGTTCACAGAAACATTTTCAGCTCCTTTCTAGCCTGCTGTAAGCCCAGCTGTTTCTCTCAGTCAGTTTGAAGCAATAATAAATTACAATTCACAAATGCTCACATTTAGAGATGCACCCTCTGTGGATTGCTGTGCTCTGCTCTCCTCTGCAGTGTCTTCTGAGTGTGTCAGTGAGGGAGGGGTGTGTTTGGTTTTGTGTGCCTGGAACAGTTATCTTCCCTAAACTTCCTCTTTAAATAGTTATTTCACTTTTTAAAAAAATTCTGTCTCTTGACCACTCCTTCAGCCTTGTTTCTGGTGCAAGCACTGTCTCAGAGTGGAACACTCCCTGGATTTCTGTCTTTGCTGTTGCACTGGCTGTCAGAGCAGAGGGGTGACATCAGGCACTGTCCTTCTTGTAATTAATTACCCTGCTAATGGCCTTGTCCTGCTGCCCTCCTGCCGTGGGCTACAGATGAGCCCGTGCTGGCTCTGTGGGCTCTGCAGACATTTCCTTTCACCTTTGGGTTCTGTGGCCTGTTTTTGCAATCATTTTCATTTTCACCCCTGTTACTGGAAGTGCATTGAGTCCAGCACTCCGAGCTGCTCTGTTCAGCCAGTGTGGGTAGGTCAGCAGGAGGGAGGGAGGAGCTGCAGGCACTCACTGTCAGTCAATAATTTGGTATCTGCTGCTGTGCTGTTTCAGACTGAGCAGCTCAGGACGATCTTTCCTTCTTTGAAGTCTGGAAATGAGGGAAGGTTCTGCATTAGGTCATTGCCCCCTGTTACGATGGGTGTTTCATTAATTAAATGTGTAATTTATAGGTAATGGATTTTGTCCGCATAGATTTTTGAAAATTCTGGTTTTTAAAAGTATTAAGAGTTTTTATTGGGGGAATGGCTTTAAACTGACAGAGACTAGGTTTACATTGGATATGAGGAAGGCATTCTTCCCTGTGAGGGTGGGCAGTGCCTGGCACAGGTGCCCAGAGCAGCTGGGGCTTCCCCTGGATCCCTGGCAGTGCCCAAGGCCAGGCTGGACAGGGCTTGGATCAACCTGGGATAGTGGAAGGTGTCCCTGCCCATGGCAGAGGGTGGAACAGGATGACCTTTAAAGCTCCTTCCAACCCAAACCAGGCTGTGACTCTCTGCAGTGTGGTGCATCCTTGGCAGGGCAGAGCAGCTGAGAGGAAGCAGTTTTGTAAAAGCACAAAAGGGAACATCTAAATGCAGCCAAACAAGTTTCACTCTGGAACAGAGAGAAAATAACTTGCACTGGGGTGAGTCAAGTCTGCTGTTTCTTAAACTGTTACATAACCCTGAATCATGCCCCAAATCTCACATTACACTGTATAGGATCTCTGAAATCAAATTCTCAAGTGCCAGTTGATTTTGTGGCTTGTCTCCCTCCTGATGGCTGTCAGAGGGAAGGCTCCTGCAGTGGCTGCCACAGCAGCACGGAGCTGAGGAGAAGTGCCTCACACACCTCTGTCCCTGGGGCTGCTGCAGGAGAGGTTTTCCCACTGTTCACCACGGAGTAGCCGTGGGGTATTTGAATAGTGGCCTAAACACACTGCACATAAACACCCACCTTGAGTAAGGAAACACCGCTTCTGCTGCCAAGCAGTGCTCTGCTTTGACCTAAATATTTATTGCTTACAAGGGTTCTGTAAGAGTGTTGCTGCCCTGGCAGGATGGGTGGCACTGGGAGCCTGTGTGCGGAGCTGGCAGCGAGCTGCTCCCCTGGGCTCGGCTGGGCGTTGGGAGAGCTCTGTGCTGCTCTTCAAACCATGTCTGGGGCCTCAACCACTGAGCTGCAGTGAGGATGTAATTCAGTGTCTGCTCAGTGCCTGGGACACCTATTTACCAGGTTTCCTTACAAAGGTAGGTGGGCTTCCATTCCACATGAAATGTGAAGTACAAATTCAGTCTTGTGTCCAGCTGAATTTTTAAGTCTTTTAATGAGATCCCTGATTGATTTTTTTATTAGTTTTTGCATTTTCAGGATTAATATAAACCTTGAGCAGTTCTTAGGGTTTTCTCTTTGCAGCTTTTTTGCTGTCTCTCTGACGGGATGATGCAGAGTCAGTCCTCAGCAGGAGCAGGCAAAGCCGTGTGCTTTTCCCGAGAGGCTGATGGATGTGTAGATAACTGTCTCTGTTCTAAGGACCATGTTTTGGTGTTGGGCCCTCGGTTGTAAAAGGGGCACTATGCTTGGTTGTTTCTTACTCACTTGGTGTTGTTCCCAAAGCCCCTTTAGAGCCAGCAGGATTGGGGTGACTGATTTGATCCAATACCTGGTTCCATATATTTACCCTCAGTTTGATGGCATTTGCCTTTGGGAGCAGGTTGAAGCTGTGTCCATGGGGACATTCCTGTCCTGAAGCTGAGGAAGGAGTCTCAGTGTTACCTGGTTTTATTGAATGATAAAATTTCCTGAAGCTTTTGTAAGGTTTATGGTTTTTATTCCAGAATTTTGGTTTTTCCAGTCGGAATTTGTTGAAATTCAGATAAGAGCTGTCAATATTTGCCATAAAATGCTTGGGGAATGCATTAAAAGGTACAAAAGGGACAAGTGCTTATGTGTAAATGTGCTGTTCATTGCATGAGTGAATTCCTCAGTGCTTGTGGCGAGGGTGTGCGCGCTGTTGTGCGAGGCCCTGCAGCGTTTGTCCTTCCAGGTGAGTGACCTGTCCTTCCACCACTCCCTGGCCACGTTTGTCACCGTCCTGATCGCCCACAGAGCTTCTCCCTGGAGGCTGTGTCCAGCACCTTGCACTGCCTCACTGCTGGTAACACAACTCCAGGAGAAAAACCCAGCATGAAAGACTCGAGAGTGGCAGAGAGGTGTCAGGGCTGGGGCAGGCGGTGCCTGGGGGAGCTGTGCCTGCAGCTCCCGGGGCTGTGCCAGCCCAGCCCTGGGCAGTGTGTGCAGCCTCACCCGCTGCTCTCAGCTCCTGCCTGCTCCCTGCTCTTGCTTACCCAAAATCTTGCTGTTCTTCCCCTGGTTTTTAATGACTCGAGGCCCAAGTGCCAATTCCTGTTGCTGAAATCATTGCATTTCCATTTTAAATGGGGCTGTGAGGAAGAACATTTCCAGGCCTGGTGCTGGGACTCGTGAGGTCCTGGGCAGATCCTTACGTGCATCTCCCATCTCCTACAGCCTGTGGGGACCTGGATGCCCAGCCTGGGGCAAGGAGGAGCTGCCAGCTGCTCCTGCACCTCCTCAGGACACCCCAGGTGTGCCTCTTTCCCCAGCAAACAGGTGGGATCAGCTGTCTGGTCCTTCCATTGCAGAAAGTGAACCCACAATTGGTTTTTGATGGCTGCAGATTTTCATGGGTGAAAATATCCATAGTGTAGGTTCAAAATTGCA